GATGGGATGGGATGGGTTGGGTTGGAGGGACCTTGAAGACCATCCAGTCCCACCCCCTGCACGGGCAGGGACACCTCCCACCAGCCCAGGTTGCTCCAAGCCCCACATTAGGTACCTGGAACCCTTCAGGGATGGGGCAGCACCTTGAAGATCATCTGGTGGGATCTAGATGGTCTTCAAGGTCCCTCCAACCCAAACCTGCAGGTTCTCTGAGCAGGAACCTGTTGCTGTGAGGGTGGCAGAGCCCTGGGCCAGGCTGCCCAGAGAGGTGGTGGATTCTCCTTCTCTGGAGCCATCCCAGCCCCAGCTGGATCCTGGGGGACCTGCTGGGGGTGCCCCTGCTGTGCTGGGGGTGGCACTGGGGGGGCTCCAGAGCCCCCTCCCAAACCCCACTGCTCCATCACCCCCAGTTCTGCCCCACAGTTGGTTTCTTGCCTCCATGAGGGACCCACTTGTCTTCTCCTGGTGCCTTTCCAGGCCTCCCCACCCAATGAGCCTGACGAAGGTGGATCCTCCTCCCTGGGGTCTCCCCTCTCCTGCCTTTTTCACCTTCACCTCTTGTTCCATCAGCTCCTGGAACCTCCTCCAGGATCCCCACCTGGAGCTCCTCAGAGCTTCAATCCCCTCCCTTCCTTGGCCTGGGACATTGTCCCCCTGTCCCAGGGGGGGTTGTTGCTCCAGGGATTTTCCCCTTCTCTTCATCTCCCTTTAGTGCTTTTCCAGGTAACAGTTTAACCAGAGGTCACCAGCAGTTTGTGGTGGCCACAGGTTCCAGCATCTCAGGTGCTTCTGAAGAGCAAAAAAAAACCCCAATCAAACCAGGGCCCTTCGTGCAGCTGAACCCCGAGTTCCCAGCCCAGGGCTCCCCCTGCTCAGGGGGGTCCCCAACCTGGGGACACCCCCCGGGGCTCAGCACCTTCCTCAGGAGTGTTGGGGGACACTGGTGGGGTTTGTCCCTGCCCAGTAAGGGGGGTTGTCTGGAGGGACTGGGGAACCTGCCTGAGCCCACTGGGCTTTCTATGGGGCTTGTGGGGCCCCATGAGTGCCATGCAGCAGCACCCCAAGTGCCCCAGCACCCCAAGAGCCCCCAGAACCGTCCTGTGAAATCCACATGGAGTCCAACCAGGCCCAGGTCCTGCTCAAGGACAGGGACAGTTCCTGGGAATATCCAGGTTGGGGGGAGAATGGATGGAGGGCAACCCTGAGGAGAAGGAGCTGGGGGTGTTGGGTGAGGAGAAGGAGCTGGGGGTGTTGGGTGAGGAGAAG